CATATAAGCAAGAGCTGGTACTTTTGGTTGCACTACAAGGGAAGGTAAGTTTTTCCCACTCAACTTTTCATCTTAATCTGCCGAGTTCTAAATTAATTTAAAATATCCAGATTATTTCGGTACCCTATCGAGAGGTCACAGGTAGTAGGGGGGAAGAACGGAGCAGAACTTCCCATTGTCTCGCTCGCTGGTATGTAAAACCTTAATTTTCTTATATTTCAATCAAATTATTCATTTTTCTCGATTCCTCTTTCTTCTGATAACCTCACCTACCACTTGAGTACTAGTGCTAATATACCATCTCTTACAGCGCTCATTCATCAGCCTTTCCGTCGTGGTAAGCATTACGGGTGAGATGTCGACATGGGTTTGTGGTGGTTTTTGGCGGAATCCATACGGGTACAAAATACACTCTCCAAATCCATTTCTTTTCAGAAGCTAATTTCTATATATATATAGGGCACGAAATCTCTTCAAACCTTGGACTCGAGGGGTGGGTGCCTGGCCCCTCTGCCAGTTGAACACCTTGCATAAGGTCGTAGATTGGGGTATCTTGCAGTCAAATCGATCCATCTGGTTGGTTACTTTTCCGATTCTGTTTTTTTTCACAAGCTAATTTATATAAGGCTCGGAATCTCTTCAAACCTTGGACTCGATGGGGGGTGTCTGGCCCCTCTGCCGACCCAACACCCCCCATTGTGTGTTGAACTGCCGGTGTGTATTGAGGTTCCTCCTACTACCACTATTTAGTTATTAATACGCTTTAGGAAGAGGGCCTCGGCAAAAGGTTTTCAGTAGCCTGCATGCTTTAGGCATGCCGGGGTGGCTTAATTCACTATCCAGTGGGTGTCGGTCCACCCCCTTTCCAGCCTCTCAGCCCCGAAGGGCGGTTCGAGTTCATATACAGATTACATCAAGGTATGAGATCTCAACTGTTTTCGGTACAATTTACTACTCATCGACTAAAAGCTAATCAAATTATCTACAGAGCTCGAGGCGCGATTAATCCGCCCAGAAACCTTTTTAAGCCATGATATGGAGTGGTCGGAACCACTTCCATTGGTATCCACGGATATTCTTCCTTCGAGGAAAGCACCGTGTAAGAACTCCTCCTTCACTTCTTCCAATTTAGCATCCATCCAAATCACTAATATATGTGTGAAGAACGGTGCTACTGGTTGGTTCCCGACAACCACTCAACTGAAGGACGGTTCGGGTTCATCCCAAGAGATCCCGGCTATCCAGCCATCGAAGGGCTGCTCTCGCTGCACCTGCAACACTACCCCCAGATTTGGGCCCTGTGGGGTGGATATGTATCGGTATGAACTCTTGTTCCTACTTTTCTTCTTAATCAAAACACCAACTAATATTTGCGCAGATAAAGTTGCTTCAAAGCCAGAATGAAAAGAAGGCTGCATTTCCCAAACCCAATAACCCAGATGGTTCTCGTGCATGAAGCTCGGGGTTGCCAACCCTCTGGGGGCCAATCGAGCGATACAATTGGTACATTTCTTGTCAATGTAATGAGGCGTAATATGCCTTCAGGCCTTTCGGATTTTATAGAGTCGTTCAGGTCAACAAACACCGCAATCGAGATCGAAGAGGACGACCCGGAGCTTCATGCAACACCGGTACCCCTAATAGACCTGGCTGGAAAGTTCTTTACCAACGGCTCTCGAACTCGTCATTCCCCCGCCAATAGTAATGCGGGACAAGAAACACCGCTATCGGTAGGTTGCACTCAACTGACCGGCCTTGCTTGAAGATTCTCTTACTGATATCCTTGTTTTATAGATCCTGTCCAATACCTGCCTAATGTACATGAAGTCACCCATAGTACGGGATGGTTATAGTACCCTAGAGACGTTGTCTCTCGCCCTGCTCCCACTCGACCCAGCACATCAAGGAGAAGGAACACTCAAAGTCTTTCCAGACCCCGGTCTAGCACCTAGTGCCAGAGATCCCAGTAAGCAAGATATTCTACTGGGTCTCTCGCTAGATCTGCGAGGAAAATCTGAAAGCTCTATGAAGGGGCTTACCTTGAGAGCTATTCAATCATCCTCGCCTTTCGCCTTTCGCCTCTTCGGAGTTCAAATGCCAAACCTGCGACGAGGACTTTAAAACCAGATATTTCTTGAAAAAGCACTATAGAACTCGTAGTGAGGAGGAACAAGTGGCAATGTGAAAGTAAAGAAAGCAGCTGGGAAAGGGGTGGAGACCATAGAAGGCCCACTTTCGATATCCGAAAGAGCAACCGAGCTCACGGATGATCTGCCCCCCCCCCCCCCCCTTCCCGACGAGAGCAATCGAGCTCCTTGCAATTTTCACTCTTGTTATATATGTGTACATTACATGTAATTTATTTAATAATAGTTCTTTTCTCTTCAATACTTGCTCTTTCGTAAATGATTAAAAACATCCACCTTTGAATCCGAGATATTATGCATGTTGTTCTCCCTAGCTCTCTGTAATCCACGCCATCTCACAGATGCCACCTCAATCTCGGATATTTATATCTTTTATGAGGCTACCCACCTTCACCTTTGGGGTTAGAATAACACTACTATCCATACAAAATCACTAATGTGGTCTTTCCCCGTTTAATAACAATATCCTACATCCCAATCATTGACCCTCCCCACCCGAGGCCAACAAGTCTACAGTCCATCTAATAAACTTCCCACCCGCCACTAACCCTCCACAACCTTCTCACCACAACTTCCCAATACAACCACAATGTCAACCCCCACCCCAATCTTTCGCAACTTCCTTCTGCTCTCCCTGCTCCTCTTCATCGTTACTCCCGCATCAACCAATCCGGCCCACCCAAGGCACACAAGAAAGAAATGGTGCAAGATACCAGAAGAGTTCTGTACCACGCACGACAGTATCATCCCCGCCCCTCTCCTCCCCTCCTCTTTCTCAGCTCTTTATAACCGGAATGGGATGTGATGGGAATACACTGACGAAGGAGGCAACAGACGGCGGTGAAAGAGCATGCTACATGCCACTCGGCATGCGCTGCGAGAAATCTGGTGAGATTGTAGATGTAACGGAGACTATTATTGAGACTGGTATGCTCCTTTTCTACTTTGGCTCATATAGTTGGCGAGATTGGGTTTCTGATGTGTGTGGAGTGGGGACAGTGACCGTTACGATGCCGTATGATGGGGCGGAGGAGACGCAGGAGGGATATTTGGGGAATGATATCGATATGGATGGACAGGAAGCCCCGATGAAGGCTACTGAGGATGCATCAAGTCGGTTTTTCTAGTTCGATAGGGAGTCTGGCTTGTATTCTTAGCTGTCCAACTAACTTCTACTGACTGTGCAGGGAATAAATCAAAAAGGACACTCTACACAGAAGCCCCAAAGCCCCATCTAACTGTCGACGAGCGATTACTTCCCCGTGCCGCAGAAACCGTTTTCTCCAGGTTCGATTTCACGGCGAAGGCACCGGCAGCGGTGTTTCGTGAATATATGGGCAATATTGCTGCTCAAGCTAGTGCTACGGCTAAGCCTACAGTGAGGTTTGAGAGGTTGCCGGAGCTGATGATTGAAAATATCAATGGGGTTGATATGGTGTCTGAATTTCATGGGGGGTTTAAGAGGTATATAGTGGGGGAGGAGGAGCCGTATGGAGACGATGAATTCGAACATGATGAGGGTTATCATAGTGATGACGGTGATGATGGTGATGGTGGTGATGGTGGTGGTATCGAACCCCAATTCACAGCTTCTCTTTACTCATACAAACTAATATTAATATACCTACACCAGAATACTCCCTCGAAACCGCCGACGAGATGCCCACCCCGCTCCTGCCGAAAACTATCTGGGCCGACAAACCCATCCTTGAAGTCAGCTGCGTCGTGCGTGCCCGCCTGCTCTGGGACGACTTCAAGATCACCTGGGGCCCCGCCTGGAAGGACGACGCCGGCTGCAGGCGCCTTTTCACTGCTATGAACAAGCGCGGCCTCGTGACGGGCTACAAATGCGGGCAGTTTGCGGACCCTGCGACAAACTCATTCCATATGGAGGCGAGGGGACATCGGCCGAGGTTTCCGAAGAGTCTGGTCGCGGATGCGATTAGGGAGGGGTTTGGGAATGTAGGTTCTATATCAGTAATTGGGGTTTTTATATAGAGAGTGGCTGACGAGTGGCTGGTGGTAGGAAAATACGCTTTATTATCGCGGGTATGAGAATGCGTTACTGTGCGAGAGGAACAAGAGTGGGTGGTTCTCGAAGACGTGATGAGGAGAGTTCATATTGGGTTTTCGAGATTAATTAAGTATAGCTGAAGGTTCGTTAATTGGGCACATGTACTATAGCTTTGCTGTTTGAGAATGTCGAGAACGTCGCTGTTTTGACTGCTGCTGTTGATTTTAGGATTTAAATGTTATAGCTATACGAAGAAGCACGATTCAGTGGTGTAGTGGTATCACGGGCGCTTGCCATCATCTCCGATGATTTGCGCCCGACCCGGGTTCGATTCCCGGCTGATTCATCGTTCATTTTCCTCTTTGGTGTTTAGAAATACTTACCTCCTTTTTTATTTGATTTGCACACTACAAGTATGTATTTTTCATAAGTGTATGTCTTCAGCGGTGCTCCTCGTCTTCTGGATTGACCTTGATGTAGTTTGCGCCCAATTTGACCCCATCATACGGTTTTACTACTGGGAAACAATCCCTTGATGATCTCTGAATTAGGAGCTTGCCCTCACTGAATTGAACGACATGAAAATTCTTACGGTCGCCTGCCGGCCCAGATTTTTCTCAACAGCTTCTCCCTTATACTGAGCTACAACTTAGACAAGGTAGCCAATTCGGCCATGGAATCATGAAGATCACAGGTTCCCTAGCTAGTACTTTCTCTTAGTACAAGTACCCGCTGTAGTCTCATGGGGCAGCTCTTATACCATGCTTTCCGAAAAAAAGAGTTCTTGGCTATTATAATTATCAAAAATTAATTTTACAATCAGCAAGTCACAAACATCGTTCTCCGTGGCGCAATTGGCTAGCGCGTTCGACTGTTAGGATGCAATCGAGAGGTTGACAGTTCAAGCCTGTCCGGGGAAGAAGATTTTTTTTCCCCTACCTTCCCCCCTCACTCGGTCGTGAGCGGAGGTTGCCGTGGCGTTGGGGCCGGGGGTTGTGTAGGGGTGCGCTGGGGCGCGTAATTGATTAGATTAGATTAGATTTCTGGGATTTAATTGTGTCCTTTGCGTTTTGAATACTGTATCTACGTATGCCAAAACCCCTATTTCCGTTGGGGTCGGGGTGGAGAATGCGGTTTTGATATTAGACAAGCTGGATTAACCTTAGCCATCTTATCTAGTCCTATGTCATCGTGAGGATTTGCGCCGCCCCAGTAGCAATTAACTGACCAAATGATGACTAGTTGTTTGTCAAGCTACTTGACACATACTGCCAACCACTTGTGATACTACCTACGTACTACATGCGTACGTCTTAACCTTCCCTCTACCTAGCAGTCAGCACGCTATATAAGGTACAATACCGCATCTCACCTCAATCCCTCCCACCACCACTCACCACTTCCAAAACGCTTTTCCCAAATTTTTCTACACACCCGCCCCTACTTCTTCCTTTTCCCATATTACTTCCCATATCCACCCAATCACAATATGGCTGATAACATCTGGTACTGCCACCAGTTCCGGCCCACCACCGCCTACACGTACATCTGCCCATTGACGCAGGAGGTCCTGGACCTGCTGGGACTGGACGTACGGATGTTCGAACAGATGGATATGATGGGCATACGGTTTGCTGTGCATGTCAGGGTCACAGATTGGGATGATACGGAGCCACTGTCGTTTGAGTTCTTCAAGGCGGAGACAGCCGTGGTTGGGGAATAAGTTCCTTTTTTCTCATTTTCTTTTTTTTTCTTTTCGTGGGTATTCCTAGGAAATTCCTTTGTTTTCGCATCTACTTGTAGTTGCATCTCCGTATAGGTCATTTTGTTGTGAACATCGTTGACTTTTTTCCTTCAGTGACTTGATGTCGACGTCATAAATCAATACATAAACGCCCAACCTCTTCCACCTCTTCGAAGTCATAATCTCAATTGTTACGGTAAATACAACCCCAATTCCCCTCATCAACGACCTCTTCTAACGTTATAATAGATGCATGCCTAGCTATATGCATGTATCTTCTCGACCCTCACTCTCTCCTCCGGGGCCTCTTCTATTCCGCCAGCCAGTCCAAAACCCCATAAGTTCATAATAGTTCAATATATAGCGGTGCAGCTATTATATGTTTATTTCATATTACATTTCTTAAATTTCTTTAAATTCATGTATTGCTACAGACCTTTCGGGTGTATAGAGCATTCAAATGTAGCAAAAGTCAGGATTTTAATGATAAAAGATTTTCCTACTTGGTCATATCAACTATATTGCATCCAACCATATCTTGGCTACTCTTTTCCTATAGAGTTTATACAGTGATACGTATACTACAATTCTATGTTCAGAGAAGTACGTGAGTTTTGACTATAGTGTGCAGGGTTCTGATTATGCTAACTATATGTATTGATGTTGATTAACAGAATGCGTTGACGAGTTACTTACCTTTCCTCAATAGTTCGAAGCAGAAAAGTTTGGAGTGGACGAATCGATTCTGTTGACATTTCCGTTGTCTATTACAAATCTTGGTAAACGTATCATTGATCGTTGGAACGTGCATCGAGGGTCATTGACCTTTGCAGCCCCCGCCAACTCCAACGCACCAGGTAACTCAACGCACCAGGTAACTCTCCGCTCAGCCCCCCTTCGACAACTAAACCACTAACTCTCTTATCTCTTATCATCAGTCAGATTTATCTCGAGTCTTGGCAATCAGGTGGGCTTTTGAATCTCAAGAGCACTTGAATCACAAAACTCCCCACTTGATTCTTCGACGCAATGCCATCAACATCGAGAACGATGTCCACATGAAAACAGACCTCCTACATAAACCCAGCAATCTACACTTCTACGTCCTCCTATTCTCATCATCACCATCACCATCTCTTCATAATTGCTCAAGTCATATCTTCCCATATTGACCAATTCTACGGCTACTAACCCATCTAACCACCCCGAAAAACTAATTAATCTTCCACAATGCCATCGAATACACCCTCTGAAAAGGCTGCTCCCCTCATCAATACCCACAAAGAAATCATCTACACCAACTACTCCCCCCGTTGCCCTAACTGCATCTCCACCATTCGTGCCGCCGCTTTCCTCGCATTCGACACCGACGACTACACCCCCAAAGACATTGGACACTCCGAGCACCGTGACAGCGACCAAGCATCCATTAGTACTGACTCGGAGGTAGGGTACCTCCCTCGCGAGGCCAAAGGCAACTGGAGGGTCGATGTCATGAATAAATACGGCATCGGTCTGAAGAGGGAGAGGGCAACCCGGCCGATCTCTCCGGCTCAGCCATTCCCGGTATCGCCCCAGCGAGGGAGGAAAGATACCTTTGATTTTGTTGGGTCTGGCAATGATTCGGAATCCTCTGCTCGTGGATCCGGGACTTCCTTGGGTTCAAAGACTACCTCTGGCTCAATCTCCGGCTATGAATCTAAAGCTGGATATCTCTCCAGTTCCAGTTGCAAATCCTTCGCCCGTGGGTCCGGAACCACCCTCACCCCGAATTCTTCTACCCCGAATCTCGCTCGCGACTCAAACTCTGGTGGTAGTTCTAGCTCTCTTTCGGCTGCTGCATTGCGTCTAGGGAGCCTGTTCCTTTCTCCCCTGTCTTTGAAGCATAACCCCGAGGACGGCTTGAGCAAAGGGGAAGAAGAGCGACTGAAGAAATTGCAGGAAGAGAGTAAGCTTCGTTTTCTCGAGCAGCTTCCGAAATGTGACTGAAGAAAATGCAGTGTGGTTCAACGGATATGAACCCGGAGCAGCTGTACCGCTTTCCTGGTTCGAGTGCTGTGTTAGCTATCTGTACCCTTGCTGGAACCGTTAGCATTGAAAGAGTCATGGTTGAAAATTAAAAGTGAATTTTACGTTGATTTTGAGAGGGCGATGGTAAACCATCCCGACTTATTCAGAGTGGGATATAAAGCAGCTACCACCCTTGAGTATTCTTTGAATGATGTATTTGCTAACAGATGTCCAGTCAATACTTAGAAGGTGGACTGCCGAGCGCGAAATAAAAGGAAAGATTGAATGGCATACTTATTAGCATTAGAGACGCTCATTTTCAATGTGATTGGTTCGATGAAGTTGGCAGATAGATGGTTACGATCAAACTTCTGTTCGAGACTTGGCTTAACCATATATTAGTACCTCTACGCCCCAATATTGACATGCTCTCTAGCTCTAGTGTATACATCTTTTCAAAAATCTCTACGTGTTCCAGCCTGGTCTGTTTTAGCTATGATTCCCTATCACCAAAAACTCTTTGCGAGTGATACCTCATGTTCGTAACCAGACAGGGAGTTCACCAGCCCACATCTCTCCGTTGCGCGGACTCGGCTCGTAGTACTATTACCCCCCCATTCTTCATAGCTATGTATGGTTAGCTCACACCAGCCATACAGCTCCCCGTAAATTGAACAGGCCAACGAAACACATCCAACGAACCCAAGTCCTGGAAGTAATTACACCTCCCATCAGCTCAATCTACACAAAGCTCTGGCAATCCCCATCATTTCATCAGCTGCAATTAATTCCACGCGATATTCGACACGATACCAACTTTCGGTATACGCCAACCCGTTGGGCTTCATAGATAGTTTAGACGAAACACTATATGCGGATATATCGATTACCTTCGTTTTGGCGAAGCTTTTTGAGCCCAGAGACGGAATCCCACTGGGAGGCCTGGTTTGAAATACCCTCAAATGTTACCTCAGTACTAAAAGAGTTACATCGGTGGAATACCTGTGGACTGCGCCAGTCGAAAACACAGCTCAAAGACCCCCCCCCCCCCCCACCTTCCCCAGTACTTCTAGATCACCAGCTCCTCCTCCAGCAGATATCTACATGTAGTTACTGAGAAAACCCATCACAAGAGAACATGTACGCATACCAGCATTCAGAATTATCGCATAAAATTATAAAATACAAAAAAACAATTCAGAAACGATTGACAATTGTCTGCATCTTTTCGCCTAATTCCGTTGCGGGGAATTGAACCCCGATCTAGTCGGTGAGAGCGACTGATGCTAACCATTACACCACAACGGATTATCCACAGGACAATTTTTAGGCTCAATATTAAATTTGGAATAGTGCGAGAGGTGGTGTTCTTAGGAAGAGGCTTACTGTGCAAACAAAGGCTCTACCCGATCATCCTAACAACAACAACAAAAATTTGATGCGGAACAACGACGAGTCTTTTGAACTCACCTTTGATCCATTAAAAGAATAACAGGTCCTGCCCGGAGTCGAACCGGGATTACAGGAATCAGAATCCTGGGTGCTAACCATTACACTACAGAACCATGCCATCGCACCGCACTATGCATTTGTTGATGCAGGTCTGCAAACCGAGTAACACGCCGAAACAGTGTACATAACCGAGTGAGATCCCATGTTCTCCTCCGAAATCATACATAAAAAAATCAGCCGGTTCCGTTTTCGGCCACTTATCCAAGTGTTGTAACGACCTCCCTGCCCCAAAACGGCGAGCCTGGCCAGCTGGCCCGACCCAGCTACAAGTGTGCGAAAACACTCACGGCACCTCGCAGCTTCGCAAACACCCAATGGTAGACTCTTCATCATATTACCCTAATTCTCCGTACGTACATGCAAGTTCGTTTCCCGTACCGTCCGCAGCTGCTCATAAATACCGCACATCACAGAAAGAGAAACTGAAAGTGAAAGAAAGCGTTTTATAGGAGGAGCACATATCACACGACGAGGCACATCAAGTATTAATACTAAATCCAAGAGCGCAATAATAATAAAAAGGAGTAATTTCGTCACCACGATTACAGTACACGTGCATGCAAGTACGTAACTCAGAGATATCGATATCGATTTAGATACAACCGTACGTCGAGACCTCAATATAGTAGTATGCAAGACCAAGATGAAAAAAAA